ATATTTCAGAGCTGGGGACGGCGACTCGGAGTCGGGGAAGGCGGGCTACAGAGCCCGGGCTCGAGGACTTCGACCCAACAACGGGTTCGCATGTTCCATGTTAACCAGCGGTGGGGTTCTTGGGGTCCAACGGCTCAGTCCTGAATTTGAAGACGATGAACTATTTTTTTCCCGTTAAATTCTTTATTTAAAATTGCTCATTTGAAGCATTTTTGGTGTCAACAAAGGCAACCACCAGAATCTTAAAAGCATTTCCAAAAAATGCAATAAGCCTTGATCGGGGAAAAAGGGAAGTTGCTTGGGAGCCCAAATTGTATATCTATTCCAAGTTAACGAGTGCCAGAATGGGGACAACACGACCCCCCCCGACGGTGGTTAACATGGAACAGGCGAACCCGTTGTTGGGGCAATGAAAAATTATGAAAAATAGAGAAGACAAGGAAAAAACAATTAAACATAATGAAGAATAGAGAAAAACAAGAAAAAAGTAAGGTTGATATTTCAGAGCTGGCGACGGCGACTCGGAGTCGGGGAAGGCGGGCTACAGAGCCCGGGCTCGAGGACTTCGACCCAACAACGGGTTCGCATGTTCCATGTTAACCAGCGGTGGGGATCTTGGGCGGCTCAGTCCTGAATTTGGAGACGATGAAGTTTTTTTCCGGTTAAATTCTTTATTTAAAATTGCTCATTTGAAGCATTTTTGGTGTCAACAAAGGGCAACCCCCAGGATCACTGGTTTAAAAGCATTTCCAAAAAATGCAATAAGCCTTGATCGGGGAAAAAGGGAAGTTGCCTGGGAGCCCAAATTGTAGATCTATTCCAGGTTGACGAGCGCGCCAGAATGGGGACAACACGACCCCCCCGCGACGGTGGTTAACATGGAACAGGCGAACCCGTTGTTTGGGCATTGAAAGATACTGAAAACTAGAGAAAACAATGAAAAAAAATGAAAAATAATGAAGAATAGAGAAAAACAAGGAAAAAAGTAAGGTTTATATTTCAGAGCTGGGGACGGCGACTCGGAGTCGGGGAAGGCGGGCTACAGAGCCCGGGCTCGAGGACTTCGACCCAACAACGGGTTCGCATGTTCCATGTTAACCAGCGGTGGGGATCTTGGTGTCCAACGGCTCAGTCCTGAATTTGGAGATGATGAACTTTTTTTCCGGTTATATAACCGTCCTTCCCCGATCCCGGGCTCTGTAGCCCGCCTTCCCCGACTCCGAGTCGCCGTCCCCAACTCTGAAATATCAACCTTACATTCTTTTTAATTTTACACTGACCTAAAAGTAGATGGCTCAACTCAAAAACCAAAATACCCACAAGATGGCACCGCGAGGTGAGAAAGAAAACGGCGCTATTTTACCTGGAACATAAAACGAGTTCCGCCAATTCCCAAGACAGGAGGCAAAACCACCAGGAAAGACATCAGAGTTATCCCAAGACAGGAGGCAAAACCACCAGGAAAGACATCAGAGTTCTCCCAAGACAGGAGGCAAAACCACCAGGAAAAACATCAGAGTTCTCCCAAGACAGGAGGCAAAACCACCAGGAAACACATCAGAGTTATCCCAAGACAGGAGGCAAAACCACCAGGAAAGACATCAGAGTTATCCCAAGACAGGAGGCAAAACCACCAGGAAAGACATCAGAGTTATCCCAAGACAGGAGGCAAAACCACCAAAAAAGACATCAGAGTTATCCCAAGACAGGAGGCAAAACCACCAGGAAAGACAGGAGGCAAAACCACCAGGAAAGACATCAGAGTTTCCAAGACATCAGAGTCAGAGTTATCTAGACAGGAGGCAAAACCAGAAAGAGAATCAGAGTTATCCCAAGACAGGAGGCAAAACCACCAGGAAAGACATCAGAGTTATCCCAAGACAGGAGGCAAAACCACCAGGAAAGACATCAGAGTTATCCCAAGACAGGAGGCAAAACCACCAGGAAAGACATCAGAGTTCTCCCATCCCCAAGACAGGAGGCAAAACCACCAGGAAAGACATCAGAGTTATATCCCAAGGCAGGAGGCAAAACCACCAGTAAAGACATCAGAGTTATCCCAAGACAGGAGGCAAAACCACCAGGAAAGACATCAGAGTTATCCCAAGACAGGAGGCAAAACCACCAGGACTCAGACGATAGGTCCCCACAAAGAGTGTTTGGGGACCTATCGTTGTAGTACCCCGGATCTTTTTTTTTCCGTTTGTTTTGGTCAAAATATGTTGAAAGATGACATTTCTATCAAAATCTATCGTGTCGAACCCTAAACCCTACATCCGTTAGAAAAAAATAAGAAAATACTTCCCTACAGAATAACATAGACGAAAAAAAACTTTTGGAGTTCCGTGTTAAGACGTCATGTTTTTTTGAGGCGTGTTCCATGTTAATGTCAAAACGCGCAAAAAATGTTTTCGCACGCTAAATGTGGTAAAACTCAAAATCAACCAAAAATGACCCTAAAAAACTTTCATTATTTAACATGGACCGCATGTTAGCCAATCATACATTAACATAACCCAATTTCATGTATTTTTATTTTTTCTGCCATTTTTGAAGGTGAAAATTGGTCCCATAATCTTTAACATGGAAACTGTTATGGAAAAAACATTTTTCCTGCCATCGTCCATGTTAAAAATTGTGATGGTCTGGAGGACATCTTCGATTTTGAGAAGTGGCCCCGCAATCATTAACATAGACGCTGTTATGGAAAAACCATTTTGTCCCGCCATCGTCATGTTGGTTTGCTGGTGCCAAGAAAGGTAGGGGGATACAAGCTATTCACCCAAAAAAAACTGTTCTTTGCTTTGTTCCATGTTGACGTTAGTGCCAAGAACAGTAATTAGGAGGATACGCACAATTACTGTATCCCAAAAGATGTTTTTTTGTTCCATGTTAAGGTTTCTGTGGTGAATTGTGTTGTCCGCCCTCTACTGTTTGAGCGCTTGATGAATGTATGTTCCATGGACTGTCAAGATTACTTATTTGTTTTTCATCATGTTTCATTTATGTTTGATCGGTTTTTACTCGCGTTTCATCATTTTCCATTGATTTGTTCAATGCGCTTTACATGTTTTGATAATGTTCATTCATGTTTTCAATTGTTTTGATATGTTGTTTTTTATTATTATTCATTGATTTGTTCTGGTTTTGATATGTTTTTTTTTCTGATTTTTTATTGACATCTGCGCGGTTTTGAACTGAATGTTACATCATGTTCGTTGATTTTTCAACTGTTTTTTTGTTAAGATGGAAGTGGGGCATACAATATGCTCACCTATGGTCCCCTCCACAATTGTTTCTTGGCACCAGCCATCCCAGAAGACATGGACCCTTGCACTAGCCACCCTAGGCCATACTGACGTCCCTTGGGTGGCTAGTGCCAGGGTCCATGTCTTCTGGCCGCAAAATGAGATCCCGCCCAAATTCCAAAATGATTGTGTGATTTTTCTTGTAAAAGACTGTTCTTAAAAGTACTCATTTGTAACATTTTGGCCAGGAAAAAACTGCCCCCCCAGAAAACGTGGATCTTGCTTCCAGGGAACATTCATTCATCAAGCGCTCAAACAGTAGAGGGCGGACAACACAAGTCACCACAGAAACCTTAACATGGAACAAAAAAACATCTTTTGGGATACAGTAATTGTGCGTATCCTCCTAATTACTGTTCTTGGCACTAACGTCAACATGGAACAAAGCAAAAAACAGTTTTTTTTGGGTGAATAGCTTGTATCCCCCTACCTTTCTTGGCACCAGCAAACCCAGAAACGTTAACATGGAACAAAACATTAAAAAGAACTAGAGTACTTTTCTTGGCACCAGCCATCCCAGAAGACATGGACCCTTGCACTAGCCACCCTAGGCCATACTGACGTCCCTTGGGTGGCTAGTGCCAGGGTCCATGTCTTCTGGCCGCAAAATGAGATCCCGCCCAAATTCCAAAATGATTGTGTGATTTTTCTTGTAAAAGACTGTTCTTAAAAGTACTCATTTGTAACATTTTGGCCAGGAAAAAACTGCCCCCCCCCAGAAAACGTGGATCTTGCTTCCAGGGAACATTCATTCATCAAGCGCTCAAACAGTAGAGGGCGGACAACACAATTCACCACAGAAACCTTAACATGGAACAAAAAAACATCTTTTGGGATACAGTAATTGTGCGTATCCTCCTAATTACTTTTCTTGGCACTAACGTCAACATGGAACAAAGCAAGAAACAGTTTTTTTTTGGGAGCCCCAGTGAACATGGTTTTAACATGGAACAAAAACAAGTTTTGAGAAAGGACCCCTCCAGGAGTTCCATGTTAAATTTATCATGTCATTCTAATTTGGGAGCCCCAGTTAACTTTGTTTTAACATGGAACAAAAACAAGGTTTGAGAAAGGACCCCTCCAGGAGTTCTATGTTAAACAATCGTGTGGCACCCCCTGGCAACTACTAACATGGAACTTTTTGTTGATGGTTAGTAAATAACATGGAACGATTTTGGGGGGCAGCCAACGTAGGTCGGGGTCATTTTCAGGAAAAAAAATGGCTCCGGTCACAGTTGACTTTTGTTCCATGTTAACCTTCCCGGGGTCATTTTTGTACCATTTATTTGTTCCATGTTAAATTGCTAAAAAAGTCGGTTTTTGTTCTATGTTATTCTTAAGGGGTGTAATAAATAATTGTGTGTGTGAGAATGTAGCGTAATGTAATGTAATCGAACGTAACACAACGCAACGCAGTGCAATGCAATGCAATGCAATGCAATGTAATGTAATGTACTGCAACGTAATGCAACGTAATGTAGTGCCGTAATAATTAAAATTCACGCACACACACACAGATAGATAGATAGATAGATCGATAGATAGATAGATAGAGAGAGAGAGATAGATAGATAGATAGATAGATAGATAGATATAAATGCCCAGCGTCTCGTGGTCCCCCCCGCCCGAGAACGATGGCCGAAACCCATGCCGAGGGTGAAATTTTCGCGCATTTTCCGTCTCGGACCGCAGGTGCGAAGGGCGGCGGGGCCCAGGTCGAGGACCACCTCGCGAGGAGAATTGTTCCAGCGACTTTTGCAGGGAGGAGCGAGGAAAAGGAGAGCTTGTGCCACAACCCAATAGGCCCCTGGAATGTTTTTTTCCCGGATGCGTAGCGAAGGGATCTTTTTTTCTTGGTATACGGGGTCTGGGGGTGGAGTCTTGTTTGCGGGTCGTTGCGCGTTGCGGGTCTCCAATCGACCCTTGCTGTACCTATAGGAATTGCTACAAAAAGTGACATTTTCAAGTTGCAAAATTGCATTTCGCGTCGCAGGTGTGGGACTTCGTGGACTGAGGGTCACTTCAAATCGTGTCGCTCGCCGTGTCTCTAAGTTTTTCTGATGTGTTGAAGTTGCGAAAATGTATTTGACATGGCAGGCGTGGGACTTCGTGGCAATCAGGACAAGAGTGTGAAGTGTGGAGCATGGAGATATGGAGTGCAGAGTGTGAAGTGTGGAGTGCGGAGTGTGAAGTGTGGAGTGGAGAGTGTGAAGTGTGGAGTGTGAAGTTTGGAGTGTGAAGTGGAGAGTGTGAAGCGTGGAGTGGAGAGTGTGAAGTATGAAGTGTGAAGTGTGAAGTGGGGAGTTTGAAGTGTGGAGTGTGAAGTGTGAAGTGAAGAGTGTGAAGTGTGGAGTGTGAAGTGTGGAGTTTGAAGTGTGGAGTGTCAAGAGGAGAGTGTGGAGTGTGGTGTGGAGTGGGGTTGAGAGTTTCAATATGATTGAAGTGTGAAGTGTGACGTGGGAAGTGTGGAGTGTGAAGTGGAGAGTGTGAAGCGTGGAGTAGAGAGTGGAGAGTGGAGAGTGTGAAGTGTGGAGTGTGGAGTGTGGAGTGGAGATTGTGACGTGTGGAGTGTGGAGTGTGGAGTCTGTGGTGTGATCGGGCAGTGATTGCGAAGTGTGAAGTTTGAAGTGTGGAGTGTGAAGTGGAGAGTGTGGAGTGAGGAGTGTGAAGTGTGGGGCGGAGAGTGTGAAGTGTGGAGTGGGGAGTGTGGAGAGTGTGAAGTGTGAAGTGTGATGTGGGAAGTGTGGCGTGGAGAGTGTAAAGTGTGAAGTGTGAAGTGTGGAGTCTGAGGTTTGGAGTGTGGAGTGTGAAGTGTGGAGTGTGATGTGGGAAGTGAGGAGTGTGGTGTGGAGTGTGGAGTGTGAAGCGTGGAGTGGAGAGTGTGAAGTGTGGAGTGGAGACTGTGAAGTGTGGAGTCAAATGTGTGAAGTGTGGAGTGTGGAGTGGAGAGTGTGAAGTGTGAAGTGCGGAGTGCGAAGTGCTTCTCCAAACAGTTTGTATGCTGCTAGGCTTCTTATTCAATATTCCCCCTGCAGAGAGCCCAACTTTTGCATCGTCTCCAAACAGAATTGAAGCGCAGGACTTGCATCGTCTCCCATTTGTCACTTTCTTGCGTCCCTACTTTGCTCTCCATTCTTCCTTCTTGTGGTTGCCTGGGGCGCCCACTTCGGACTGGCTGCCTTGGTGTGGACGTCCCTGGTCCCAAAATTGCCCCCAATGTGTTTCTACACTTTCTGTACTTCTCCATTTGTGTTGTCTCGGCTGGTCTTGGTGCTTCACACTGGCCCCCATTGTCCCCAATGTGTTTCTACACTGACTGTACTTCTCCGTTTGTGTTGTCTCCACTGGTCTTGGTACTTCACACTGGCCCCAGGAAAGGGAATTGTGTCTCACCATTTGTCTGTCTCATCACTGCGCTGTGTATTTTGCTTTCCTTCTTGTGGCTACTTTGGGACGAAGGTTTTCTCGTCTTTTCTATCCCCTCTCCACTCCCATGACCGCCCTGGGTCAGTTTTCTTTCCGACAGGTCTCCCCACTTGGCTCTCCATTTGTCTCCCTTCTTGTGGCAGCCTTGCAACGGAGGAATTCCTACGTCTTTCATGTTTCGAACAGTTTCGAACGATATCATTCATTCGTTGTCCCTTATGGCCGCAATGCTACTGACATATGTCATTTGGTAGTCATCATTGGTTGTTATGTTTCCGACATGTTTTCTGCAAAGTAATTTTTCAAGAAACAAGACCGGGGCATTTGGATCATTCTTGTTTCGAGCACCGTGATGGACCTGGAAGTTTTCGGCTTTCAGCATCATTTTTGCCCGCGGAGCAGGTTTTGACACTGGTGGAGCCGACGGAACCTGGTGAGTTTTTCGTGATCGGATTGGACTCGTAGCAGTTAAGGTGTGATCAGCCACTTGGGCATCCGTGTGTTCATGTAGCCTGATTCGAGCACAAGAACCCAATGTGTTTCCCTTGCCATTAGCATTTCCTCCAAAGAGAAACCGTGTTGATGCAGCCCAATGCAGCCATTAGCATGCTCAGTGTGTCGCATATGGGTTGTGGAGAAACCAAGGCAGACAATATCTCCAAAGAGACTTACTCATCTCATTGTCAAAAGTTTCCTGGGAAAAAAACGGTCGAACAGAGATCGACTTCGAATGTTCAGCAATGTCAAGGCAAAAAACCAAGGGGGTGGCCCGAACAGCCGGCGTTTGTAAGCCCTTATCTCCTCGCATCTTTCGTCCATTTTGTGCCTACCTGTATGATTCGAAAAACAGCAACTGTCAGATATCCCTTGCCCGCGCAATTTTACCTTCCTTCAGCTGGGGTTCCGCCAGGTTTCAGATGAAAGGGTCCGACCTCTCCCGCCTCGATCTCGAGGATCTTGCTCAGACAGACTGCTGTGGACAGCCGTGTCGAAGTGATTGGGACAGTAGTTTGCTGAATTGGAATGTATTTTCGAATGGCTAAACATCTCAGAACTTTTGCCTCGTATCACTACGCATGATTTGTTTACATCATTCCACACGCAGTTCTTGCCCAGCAACTCCCACGGCAGCAATGTTTAGCGAAGCATCACTGATTTCTCCCTGAAACCAATTTTGTTTCTGAATGGTAGATACTGCAAGTTCGCCTTCAGGCATCCCCATTGGCCCAATGGCAACTTTTCTCCAATGTTTTGGCCAGCGATGTGTAGTAACAAGGGGTTCAGGCGATTCAGGCGATTCAGGGGGTTCAAAAGGGTCCGCGCGCCCGCGCAGCACAAGTTGAGATTCAGGCTTCGGAACTGGGTCGCCAGGGATCTGGAACGTGCTGCAAACCGTTGACTCTGAGCATTTGGGCATTTGTTTGGGCCCCTCGCGGGCTTTCTACGGCTGAGTGTGCAACCTTGTCAGATTTCCCGCTATTTGTTGGGGCGTAACACCTGACAATGATATCAGCTTCCGCACGCACGGGGTGTTGATGAACTGTTGCATGTCAAACGGACATTAAAATTAAAATGGAATTGAAATTGTTGCAGGCCTGGTTTTGATCAAAGAGAGTCCAAGTCACATATTTTCCACCTAGGTAAGAGCAGCAGGTCTGTCACCCCATTTGAATGGGTGGTCTTTTTTCCAGGAAGACTGCTTCCATCCAGATTTTGGCCATTGAATTCAGATCCCACTTTGCAGAAAAATAAATTTACGATATTTAGGGGGTGAGATTTGCGGTTCTGATCTGCAGTAAGTTGTCAAGGTATCGGCGCTAGATGCGGGTTGTGTCCCGGGCTATGTTGCCTGGTTGCGCCGGGCCCGGCACTGTTTGCAGAAGCCATAGAAGTGATGCACAGAGGCCAAATGCTCTGCGTTCAAACCCATTTAACTGAGGTGCAGGTGATAGCCTTCCAAAGTATCGGCAATATTCAAGCATTCTTTTGAATCATGAGCCCTGCTATATAATTAGTTCATTCAGTTGATGTGTTTGAAAGGTAACATTCCTGCAAAGTCGCCATACATAGTGAGACATATGACCCCTCTATCGTCCAATTTCGATGTGTCATCGGGACGCTCAAAGCCGACCAGGTGATCCACCGCAATGTGATTTTTTTCAATCCATCAGTATATGAAGATGTGGGGTGTGCTTTCGCCATGTTAGCACATTGAAACCGACTCATTATAGGACATGTGTTCGGGCGCAAAACTACCTGCAGTACGCCGTACTTAGTCCTGGAAGCTGACGGCAAAAAATTGGAACAATGATAGACAAAAATGACTCAATCAGAATGAGCTGAAGGAGTTCAGCCCTGGTTGGCCCTCAGTTCTGAAAAAGTTGTTGCCGCACACATTTGCGCCACGCCCTTGTCTGCAGTCCGTTGTATCTTGAGATTTTTTGTGATGCCCAAATCCAGTTGAAGCTGTCCTACATGCGCAATCCCTGCAAACGTACCACGTTCAGGGTCTGTGGGACAGCCTGCAAGTTCCGGCTTTTGCGTCACAAGAGGCCTCTAGAAGGCCCATGGTTGGTTGTTAGAGTCTTGTCTCGGATCTAATGTCTTTGCTCCAGCATAGTGACGTCTTGAACGCTCCCGCCCAGTGGAAAAGCTACCGATGGTAGAATGAATGTGGCACTAGGGGCTCGTGGGACAAGGTGCAAAGAACGTGGTTCAGTTAGCACTGCAGGCTCAGTGCTAGATTGCTTCCCGAAAACACGCGAATTGACGGGCTGCCAAGCCGTGTAAGACCCCATTTAGCAAGACCAACAGTAACCAAGAAGTCTTGAGAAATAATTGTTTGGCTCTTCCGTTTCCGGTAGCTTGGGTATGGCTGTTGGCTCCTAGTGACATTGGCCACAAGAAGCACGCACATGTTTGCAATGTTTGGAGATCGTCAGGCCCATTGGCCGACCCAGCATCATTTGATTGCCTAAAGCCTTGCGGACAGAAGTTCAGTGAGTACATCATGGTACACCAAATGAGCAGCTGAAATGATTGGGATATGTATAGTATATATGGCAAAGCAAAATGCGCCACGTCAAAAATCTTGAGTGAAAAGAATCCCGCCTTGAGCTGTCGCCGAGCACATTTCTTGCGGAAAATTGGATAATTTTGGCGTGCCGTCACCTTTGGGAGTGAAAGCGGTTGCCTGCGGCCTTGTCAAGTCACAGCCGCCCGGCTCAACGTATCTGACTATTTGACTGGTCCTTCCGAACAGGCCAACCAACGCAAATGTTCAGGGATTTGGTTGAAGTCTGCTTTATCTTGAGAGCTCGTCAGTCGCCCAAGGCGAATCCTGTGGTGACTGTGCCAAGCACGCGAAACATCCTTATACCGCCGCTGAAGGGGATCGTTTGTGTTCACATTGTGGAAACATCAACTGCAACATGCTAAAGCCTTTGCAGCTGCACATGTTGCACCATCTTCAATTGTCCTTTGAGATGTCCCCAAGAGCAACGCAATCAACATGACCAGCCAGGCATCGTTTTTCAACCTGTTGATGGCAGAGGCTGCTTCGAATTGGAACGGCTATTGGCAAATCCCACACGCTGAAAAGGTGCCCTCGGCCATGGACATTCCAAAGCTCGCTCTGCGCGGTTCAATAAACCACTTCTCAAAGTTTCAGCTGGCTGCAACGGATCAGCTGCTTGGGGCGCAGGGGTTTTGATCAGATCCCACCTGTAGATCACAAAGAACGGTTGCGGTCGCAGTGGTCATGACGCAGCCTTCGCTCGATCCCGTTCTTTCACGTAGTATGTCATGTTCTCTGACCAGCTGGCCTCAAAGACATGCTAAATTTCTGTTTGATTGCCTTGAATTTCTGTATCCTTGCGTGGTCACCCTGATCAGAAGCTTTGCTTTTCACAGTTTGCCAAAGCCCAAAGCAAGCTCTGTACTCAGCACACAGACCCCATGGATGGTCTCACCAAGAAAGCTTGCAAGGCCAATGGGGCCCTCAGGTTGGACCCAACCTCTTTGACACAAGATACCCAGTATCCCGATGCAAGTTGTCCGGGGGAAGGCCCACTTGGATTTGATGTGTCCTGCCCAACGCGTCCAGTTGCCTGTACATTAGGAACTGGCCTAGTTACCATCGTCACAAGTAACCAGAGTTTGGGACCGGAACCAGGCACCGCGGTTCAAGATAAATTTGAATATATTTTGTGAATGCTTTATAATACATGTCCTGAACGCTTTGAGATCAACCTTCACACAAAAAACATGATATGGAACCGTTAGGAAACCGTGAGGAAATGGGCTGGAACCGTGAGAAAAGGTGGTGGAACCGTGAGAAAAGCGGTGGAACCGTGAGAAGAGCTTTGCACGTTTATAAGCCACAATATTTTGGTTGCCCGACGGTTTTATTTTAGGCTATCATCAAAAGAATCATAGTTTTTATCATGGTTCCTATGCGTGGTTCCTCGCCATATTGCCTGGTTCCTATGGAACCAGTCGCGGGGCCCAGTTACCTATGAGACAAGCCCCCAGGAGCCCTTGGGCTGAGCATTCAAAGCTTTCCTTGCGGCTGGCCTGAAAGCTTTCCCTTTTCGGGCAAGATATGGTTCAACAATGTTCAACATGTTTCAAGCTCATGTGCTTTGTTATGCAACGTTTTTAACAAACTTCAGTGCCAAGCGACTCCCACATCACCAATTCAAAGTTTTCCTGCGGCAAGACTGCCGGCCTTTGTGCGTTAGGCTCAAGGATTGATGGCAGATCGTCGCCGTGTTACTTTCAGGCTTCATGTTGCAGCTACTTTGATGCTGACTCTTCGTGATACAGCAGAAAGGTGCCCGACTTATGTGAAGCTTGCGGAGGTTTCACCAGTATCCAAGGTGCAGGTGGAACAGGTCGGGACTCTTGCGGCTTCTGATGTGTGCAAGGGGTTGGTAGGTGTTGGGTAGGGTCTTGACAAGTGGATGGTGCTGAAGTCATCCCGAGTCATCCCGAGTCAGCCCTGCACGCCTGGAGCTTCAGGTCACATATATAGATTGGAGATGATTGGAGCAAGTGTAGTTTGCACATGAAGTGCGTTTCGGGTCATGGCAATCATTGAGAAACTCCAGCATTATCCTTGAACATCGCATGGAACGCTTGCACCCTTCTGATCTGTCTGACCTGTGCTGTTTGCATGTGGGGTCTTGTTGGGATTTCAAAATCTCAAAGCTGTGAAGCAAGGCGGTGACCGGTGGCCTCTTTGAGAGCTGGCAGTGGCCTATGCAAAGTCGACAAGAATTGTTTTGGCATTCGATTCTGAAATTTGCGACCAAAGTCAAGCGGAATTCTTAAGGTTCAGTCCAATCGAGTGCAACCTTGCGAGACATGTAACATTCAAACTCATGGGCGGAGGCAATTGGCAACCTGTTTGTCTCAAACGCAATATCTCTGCATGCTTGAAACCTAGCCTGCGAGCCGCATCGGTTCTTCAGATGCAATCAGCTTGGCTTAAATCCCTGCAAAGCTGGGAGGACGTGTCTATTGTCCGCTCATGCTTTCAAGTTTGCAATCGAATCCACATCAATCTAATTTCATAGGGAACTGATGTGACACGTTACACGTGACCACCTTCCACTTGAGGTTTAGCCCCCAAGTCCTGGTATCCCAATACCAATCTTGCATGATAGTCAAATCTCCCGTTTCCCACTCCTTGCTGCTGAACTTTTCTGGAGCTCCCCAGTCCCATTTTGGGTACCCCGCATGAGCTGTGTGGGCACATCCCATGACAATTTGGGGCGCCCCATAAGTGGATAGGGGTCACATGCCCCAAACACTGCTATTTACGAGGTTTCAGGCCTTTGACCCCTTACCACTCAAATGGATTCAAATGGTCTCAAACGACTTGCAATGCTCTTGTGGCGACCCTTGGTCTCAATTTCTGTGGGTTGCCCCCTTTAGGATACGAGATTTGGGAAGACCATGGGAGGCCCAAAACATAAGCCACAAAAACCCAGATTCATGTGATGTCAATGATCGATTTTCAAGGGATTTCGCTGCAAAAACCAAGGCCCACAGAGGCTGAGAATGGTTAAGAGTTATTTAGAGTGACTTAGAGTGACTTAGAGAGATTTCGAGAAGGTATACATATTCCATTTTTGCAATCATGTTTTCTCAATGATCAATATTCCTCATCATTCCATGTCATTGGCAAGCAGGTGAAAATTAAATACTTGCGCTTAGCTCCGGAGGAGCTAAGCACATGTCAGACTAAAGCAGCACATGTGTAGGGATGGCATCCCTCCAAAAAATTGCGCTGCCGTGATCATACTTGCGCTTAGCTCCTCCGGAGCTAAGCGCAAGTATTTTCTAACCAGTGCCCAAAGCTTCGAGGGGTTGGATCACTATCCCAGGGTTTCCAAGCAAAAAAAAGTGGAATTCGACAGGTTGGTTTTGTCCCCCCCGCCCTCCCCCTCTGTAGGGGTAGGGATTGTGATCGCATGGGCTGTCCGTCACGGCTTGGAAGATACCTGGTTCTGTGGGTCAGACCTTGGCGGAGCTTTGCCCCCTGTCAGAGGCAGCAGCTGCCCATCATGGGCCATTCCGTCCTTTAAGAATATCTGATGCGCAGCTGGTTTGCTGCAACTGGGTAATGCTGCCGACTCTTGGAGTTAGAAAGACATAGAAAGACGGATGTATCACAAAGACGTGTTGCAGCCCTCCAACACCAGGCTGCTGCAAACGAAATGATGACAATCCTGCCCAGGGGTTGTCGCGCAGCTCTACCGAAGGCATGTCGTGCAAAGACACCATGCAGAGTGAGCGTTGTTGCCGTTACCGTTTGTGCTGCTGGCCCAAGTGGCACTTGGGATATTTACAGCCAAATTGCCAGCCGACTCAAATCTCTACAGGCGCGCTATTCAGCTGATCACTGTCGGCATGTCGATTGCAAGGTTTCGTGTGAAAGTCCTGGCAAAGAGCCAGAACTTCACCAAGAGGCCGAGCGGTTCTCGTTGTCCAGGGTGGAAAGCATGAGCAGAGGATCATGAGATTAAATGATTTGCGGCTAAAAATATAGAAATTAATTGCTCTTGTCCGGAGTGAAGACTAATGAAGCAGAAAAAGGTAGGAACAGGTAGCTGCAGGTGATTGGTACTTGTGCAACCACTGTGCTAGGGCGAACCTTTAAGGAGATGTAAGGAGTAAGCAGCCCTAGTGACTTGGACTTGCCATTTCCTTGTGACAGGTGGGTGGGCGGCCTGATGCACAACAGCTTCCGCTTAGAGGAAAATGGAGACAGGCGCGTCTTGGCCATATAAGTCGCTAGATAGATCTGGTGCATTCAACTTATGATATAAAGATTATGAAACCATGCGAGAGGGATTGGTTGGTGCTTCATGGGTGATGTGATTTTTCGGTGATTAGTAGAGAGATGTAGAGAGTGTAGATTTGTTCTGGCCTGTTGTTATTTGTGACGATGTCTTTTGGATGTCTTTTGGATCTTGGAAGACTCCGTGTTCCCTTGACCTTAGCTGTCCAGCTGGTAGGGTAAACCCAAGGCTATCGCGGAAACCAATCACAGATCATTCGAATGATGGCCGTGGTCAAAATTTGTCAAACGCCCCAATTCGAATGATGGAACATGAAACAAACACGTCATTGACAGGGGGTCCACTCTGCTTTATGATGATTTTTATGGGAATCACTGGACTTCCTAGGGACCCTTCTTGCTTTTGGAAATAGGACAGGTGGTCCCTGAAAAGCATCCTGGAGTAAACTCCAGCAGTGTAAACTTCCGACCTGAGCTCAATCTGGCTACATATTTAAACGACTTCAATTATTATTTACGTATCAATTTCCAATTCGTGCCCTATTTTCCCATCTAAACATGGGTCTTTAAGCAGCCCCTCCCATCCGCAGCCTCAACAGCAACAGCGCCGGAGGTCGCAACAGCAATGGCGCCCGCTCCTGGCCCAAGTCAAATCTTCTCGCTGGAGGGCTGCGATTGAGTGCATGGCAAAAAGGTCCGTCCGGTGTTCCTGTGGTGAGCCAACAAAAACTCCTGAAGATTCAGCCTATGCCATAGATTTGGGGATGATGGGCAGGCTGGGCCGGGCACAGAGGTATTAAACAGCTTCGGAAGTTTCTTTAAACATATTTTCCCGTTAATTATATAACCATCATCAACCATCAAGAACCATGATGAAGCATCATTGTTTTTATCATTATATGTATGTATGTATATATATATATATCAATAAACAGCATTTTGTTGGTGATCCAGCCGCCGGTCTAAACTTACAAGAGCCCATAGACTTGATTATTTTGATGCTAAAATTGCAGTTTGTAGCCATGAAATAACAGAACATGTTGGTGGAATCACTTTTGCTGGTTCAATCCCCGTTTCCAGCCGCACGTGCACCTATGGGTTTGGATAAAAACCTATTACGCCATATTTTTCGGGCTTGTGCATCCAACCAACCCCTCAATCCCATCTATTTTGATGTGAGCAGGAGGGGCCTGCAGATATATATTTATATGTAAATATGTATATATATATATAAATAATTGTGTGTGCGAGAATGTAGCGTAATGTAATGTAATCGAACGCAACACAACGCAACGCAGTGCAATGCAATGCAATGCAATGTAATGTAATGTACTGTAACGTAGTGCAACGTAATGTAGTGTCGTAATAATTAAAATTCACGCACACACACAGATAGATAGATAGATAGATAGATAGATAGATAGATAGATAGATAGATAGATAGATAGATAGATAGATAGATAGATAGATAGATAGACAGACAGACAGATAGATAGATAGATAGATAGATATAAATGCCCAGCGTCTCGTGGTCCCCCCCGCCCGAGAACGATGGCCGAAACCCATGCCGAGGGTGAAATTTTCGCGCATTTTCCGCCTCGGACCGCAGGTGCGAAGGGCGGCGGGGCCCAGGTCGAGGACCACCTCGCGAGGAGAATTGTTCCAGCGACTTTTGCAGGGAGGAGCGAGGAAAAGGAGAGCTTGTGCCACAACCCAATAGGCCCCTGGAATGTTTTTTCCCGGATGCGTAGCGAAGGGATCTTTTTTTCTTGGTATACGGGGTCTGGGGGTGGAGTCTTGTTTGCGGGTCGTTGCGCGTTGCGGGTCTCCAATCGACCCTTGCTGTACCTATAGGAATTGCTACAAAAAGTGACATTTTCAAGTTGCAAAATTGCATTTCGCGTCGCAGGTGTGGGACTTCGTGGACTGAGGGTCACTTCAAATCGTGTCGCTCGCAGTGTCTCTAAGTTTTTCTGATGTTTTGAAGTTGCGAAAATGTATTTGACATGGCAGGCGTGGGACTTCGTGGCAATCAGGACAAGAGTGTGAAGTGTGGAGCATGGAGATATGGAGTGCAGAGTGTGAAGTGTGGAGTGCGGAGTGTGAAGTGTGGAGTGGAGAGTGTGAAGTGTGGAGTGTGAAGTTTGGAGTGTGAAGTGGAGAGTGTGGAGTGTGAAGTGTGGAGTGGAGAGTAGAGAGTGTGAAGTCTGGAGTGTGGAGTGGGGTTGAGAGTTTCAATATGATTGAAGTGTGAAGTGTGACGTGGGAAGTGTGGAGCGTGAAGTGGAGAGTGTGAAGCGTGGAGTAGAGAGTGGAGAGTGGAGAGTGTGAAGTGTGGAATGTGGAGTGGAGATTGTGACGTGTGGAGTGTGGAGTGTGGAGTCTGTGGTGTGATCGGGCAGTGATTGCGAAGTGTGAAGTTTGAAGTGTGGAGTGTGAAGTGGAGAGTGTGCAGTGTGGAGTGAGGAGTGTGAAGTGTGGGGCGGAGAGTGTGAAGTGTGGAGTGGGGAGTGTGGAGTGGAGAGTGTGAAGTGTGAAGTGTGATGTGGGAAGTGTGGCGTGGAGAGTGTAAAGTGTGAAGTGTGAAGTGTGGAGTCTGAGGTTTGGAGTGTGGAGTGTGGAGTGTGATGTGGGAAGTGAGGAGTGTGGTGTGGAGTGTGGAGTGTGAAGCGTGGAGTGGAGAGTGTGAAGTGTGGAGTGGAGACTGTGAAGTGTGGAGTCAAATGTGTGAAGTGTGGAGTGTGGAGTGGAGAGTGTGAAGTGTGAAGTGCGGAGTGCGAAGTGCTTCTCCAAACAGTTTGTATGCTGCTAGGCTTCTTATTCAATATTCCCCTTGCAGAGAGCCCAACTTTTGCATCGTCTCCAAACAGAATTGAAGCGCAGGACTTGCATCGTCTCCCATTTGTCACTTTCTTGCGTCCCTACTTTGCTCTCCATTCTTCCTTCTTGTGGTTGCCTGGGGCGCCCACTTCGGACTGGCTGCCTTGGTGTGGACGTCCCTGCTCCCAAAATTGCCCCCAATGTGCTTCTACACTTTCTGTACTTCTCCATTTGTGTTGTCTCGGCTGGTCTTGGTGCTTCACACTGGCCCCAATGTGTTTCTACACTGACTGTACTTCTCCATTTGTGTTGTCTCCACTGGTCTTGGTACTTCACACTGGCCCCAGGAAAGGGAATTGTGTCTCACCATTTGTCTGTCTCATCACTGCGCTGTGTATTTTGCTTTCCTTCTTGTGGCTACTTTGGGACGAAGGTTTTCTCGTCTTTTCTATCCCCTCTCCACTCCCATGACCGCCCTGGGTCAGTTTTCTTTCCGACAGGTCTCCCCACTTGGCTCTCCATTTGTCTCCCTTCTTGTGGCAGCCTTGCAACGGAGGAATTCCTACGTCTTTCATGTTTCGAACAGTTTCGAACGATATCATTCATTCGTTGTCCCTTATGGCCGCAATGCTACTGACATATGTCATTTGGTAGTCATCATTGGTTGTTATGTTTCCAACATGTTTTCTGCAAAGTAATTTTTCAAGAAACAAGACCGGGGCATTTGGATCATTCTTGTTTCGAGCACTGTGATGGACCTGGAAGTTTTTGGCTTTCAGCATCATTTTTGCCCGCGGAGCAGGTTTTGACACTGATGGAGCCGACGGAACCTGATGAGTTTTTCGTGATCGGATTGGACTCGTAGCAGTTGAGGTGTGATCAGCCACTTGGGCATCCGTGTGTTCATGTAGCCTGATTCGAGCACAAGAACCCAATGTGTTTCCCTTGCCATTAGCATTTCCTCCAAAGAGAAACCGTGTTGATGCAGCCATTAGCATGCTCAGTGTGTCGCATATGGGTTGTGGAGAAACCAAGGCAGACAATATCTCCAAAGAGACTTATTCATCTCATTGCCAAAAGTTTCCTGGGAAAAAAACGGTCGAACAGAGATCGACTTCGAATGTTCAGCAATGTCAAGGCAAAAAGCCAAGGGGGTGGCCCGAACAGCCGGCGTTTGTAAGCCCTTATCTCCTCGCATCTTTCGTCCATTTTGTGCCTACCTGTATGATTCGAAAAACAGCAACTGTCAGATATCCCTTGCCCGCGCAATTTTACCTTCCTTCAGCTGGGGTTCCGCCAGGTTTCAGATGAAAGGGTCCGACCTCTCCCGCCTCGATCTCGAGGATCTTGCTCAGACAGACTGCTGTGGACAGCCGTGTCGAAGTGATTGGGACAGTGGTTTGCTGAATTGGAATGTAGTTTCGAATGGCTAAACATCTCAGAACTTTTGCCTCGTATCACTACGCATGATTTGTTTACATCATTCCACACGCAGTTCTTGCCCAGCAACTCCCACGGCAGCAATGTTTAGCGAAGCATCACTGATTTCTCCCTGAAACCAATTTTGTTTCTGAATGGTAGATACTGCAAGTTCGCCTTCAGGCATCCCCATTGGCCCAATGGCAACTTTTCTTCAATGTTTTGGCCAGCGATGTGTAGTAACAAGGGGTTCAGGCGATTCAGGCGATTCTGGGGGTTCAAAAGGGTCCGCGCGCCCGCGCAGCACAAGTTGGGTGGTTTTCAGATTCAGGCTTCGGAACTGGGTCGCCAGGGATCTGGAACGTGCTGCAAACCGTTGACTCTGAGCATTTGGGCATTTGTTTGGGCCCCTCGCGGGCTTTCTACGGCTGAGTGTGCAACCTTGTCAGATTTCCCGCTATTTGTTGGGGCGTAACACCTGACAATGATATCAGCTTCCGCACGCACGGGGTGTTGATGAACTGTTGCATGTCAAACGGACATTAAAATTAGAATGGAATTGAAATTGTTGCAGGCCTGGTTTTGATCAAAGAGAGTCCAAGTCACATATTTTCCACCTAGGTAAGAGCAGCAGGTCTGTCACCCCATTTGAATGGGTGGTCTTTTTATACTGCCGCTGAAGGGGATCGTTTGTGTTCACATTGTGGAAACATCAACTGCAACATGCTAAAGCCTTTGCAGCTGCACATGTTGCACCATCTTCAATTGTCCTTTGAGATGTCCCCAAGAGCAACGCAATCAATAAACCACTTCTCAAAGTTTCAGCTGGCTGCAACGGGTCAGCTGCTTGGGGCGCAGGGGTTTTGACCAGATCCCACCTGTAGATCACAAAGAACGGTTGCGGTCGCAGTGGTCATGACGCAGCCTTCGCTCGATCCCGTTCTTTCACGTAGTATGTCATGTTCTCGGACCAGCTGGCCTCAAAGACATGCTAAATTTCTGTTTGATTGCCTTGAATTTCTGTATCCTTGCATGGTCACCCTGATCAGAAGCTTTGCTTTTCACAGTTTGCCAAAGCCCAAAGCAAGCTCTGTACTCAGCACACAGACCCCATGGATGGTCTCACCAAGAAAGCTTGCAAGGCCAATGGGGCCCTCAGGTTGGACCCAACCTCTTTGACACAAGATACCCAGTATCCCGATGCAAGTTGTCCGGGGGAAGGCCCACTTGGATTTGATGTGTCCTGCCCAACGCGTCCAGTTGCCTGTACATTAGGAACTGGCCTAGTTACCATCGTCACAAGTAACCAGAGTTTGGGACCGGAACCAGGCACCGTGGTTCAAGATAAATTTGAATATATTTTGTGAATGCTTTATAATACATGTCCTGAACGCTTTGAGATCAACCTTCACACAAAAAACATGATATGGAACCGTTAGGAAACCGTGAGGAAATGGGCTGGAACCGTGAGAAAAGGTGGTGGAACCGTGAGAAAAGCGGTGGAACCGTGAGAAGAGCTTTGCACGTTTATAAGCCACAATATTTTGGTTGCCCGACGGTTTTATTTTAGGCTATCATCAAAAGAATCATAGTTTTTATCATGGTTCCTATGCGTGGTTCCTCGCCATATTGCCTGGTTCCTATGGAACCAGTCGCGGGCTTCAGGTCACATATATAGATTGGAGATGATTGGAGCAAGTGTAGTTTGCACATGAAGTGCGTTTCGGGTCATGGCAATCATTGAGAAACTCCAGCATTATCCTTGAACATCGCATGGAACGCTTGCACCCTTCTGATCTGTCTGACCTGTGCTGTTTGCATGTGGGGTCTTGTTGGGATTTCAAAATCTCAAAGCTGTGAAGCAAGGCGGTGACCGGTGGCCTCTTTGAGAGCTGGCAGTGGCCTATGCAAAGTCGACAAGAATTGTTTTGGCATTCGATTCTGAAATTTGCGACCAAAGTCAAGCGGAATTCTTAAGGTTCTGTCCAATCGAGTGCAACCTTGCGAGACATGTAACATTCAAACTGAGCATTCAAAGCTTTCCTTGCGGCTGGCCTGAAAGCTTTCCCTTTTCGGGCAAGATATGGTTCAACAATGTTCAACATGTTTCAAGCTCATGTGCTTTGTTATGCAACGTTTTTAACAAACTTCAGTGTCAAGCGACTCCCACATCACCAATTCAAAGTTTTCCTGCGGCAAGACTGCCGGCCTTTGTGCATTAGGCTCAAGGATTGATGGCAGATCGTCGCCGTGTTACTTTCAGGCTTCATGTTGCAGCTACTTTGATGCTGACTCTTCGTGATACAGCAGAAAGGTGCCCGACTTATGTGAAGCTTGCGGAGGTTTCACCAGTATCCAAGGTGCAGGTGGAACAGGTCGGGACTCTTGCGGCTTCTGATGTGTGCAAGGGGTTGGTAGGTGTTGGGTAGGGTCTTGACAAGTGGATGGTGCTGAAGTCATCCCGAGTCATCCCGAGTCAGCCCAACCTGTTTGTCTCAAACGCAATATCTCTGCATGCTTGAAACCTAGCCTGCGAGCCGCATCGGTTCTTCAGATGCAATCAGCTTGGCTTAAATCTCTGCAAAGCTGGGAGGACGTGTCTATTGTCCGCTCATGCTTTCAAGTTTGCAATCGAATCCACATCAATCTAATTTCATAGGGAACTGATGTGACACGTTACACGTGACCACCTTCCACTTGAGGTTTAGCCCCCAAGTCCTGGTATCCCAATACCAATCTTGCATGATAGTCAAATCTCCCGTTTCCCACTCCTTGCTGCTAAACTTTTCTGGAGCTCCCCAGTCCCATTTTGGGTACCCCACATGAGCTGTGTGGGCACATCCCATGACACTGCTATTTACGAGGTTTCAGGCCTTTGACCCCTTACCACTCAAATGATCTCAAACGACTTGAAATGCTCTTGTGGCGACCCTTGGTCTCAATTTCTGTGGGTTGCCCCCTTTAGGATACGAGATTTGGGAAGACCATGGGAGGCCCAAAACATAAGCCACAAAAGCCCAGATCCATGTGATGTCAATGATCGATTTTCAAGAGATTTCGCTGCAAAAACCAAGGCCCACAGAGGCTGAGAATTGTTAAGTGTTATTTAGAGTGACTATTGTGACTTAGAGAGATTTAGAGAAGGTATACATGTCAGGACATATAATATGCCAAATGGATTCAGATCTCTTGGGTCACATCAGACTCCTATGATAATTTTGCTGGTAAAGCCGCCCAAAAAATTCGGAACGTTTAGAATATGTGATCGCATGGGCTGTCCGTCACGGCTTGGAAGATACCTGGTTCTGTGGGTCAGACCTTGGCGGAGCTTTGCCCCCTGTCAGAGGCAGCAGCTGCCCATCATGGGCCATTCCGTCCTTTAAGAATATCTGATGCGCAGCTGGTTTGCTGCAACTGGGTAATGCTGCCGACTCTTGGAGTTAGAAAGACATAGAAAGACGGATGTATCACAAAGACATGTTGCAGCCCTCCAACACCAGGCTGCTGCAAACGAAATGATGACAATCCTGCCCCGGGGTTGTCGCGCAGCTCTACCGAAGGCATGTCGTGCAAAGACACCATGCAGAGTGAGCGTTGTTGCCGTTACCGTTTGTGCTGCTGGCCCAAGTGGCACTTGGGATATTTACAGCCAAATTGCCAGCCGACTCAAATCTCTACAGGCGCGCTATTCAGCTGATCACTGTCGGCATGTCGATTGCAAGGTTTCGTGTGAAGTCCTGGCGAAGAGCCAGAACTTCACCAAGAGGCCGAGCGGTTCTCGTTGTCCAGGGTGGAAAGCATGAGCAGAGGATCATGAGATTAAATGATTTGCGGCTAAAAATATTGAAATTAATTGCTCTTGTCCGGAGTGAAGACTAATGAAGCAGAAAAAGGTAGGAACAGGTAGCTGCAGGTGATTGGTACTTGTGCAACCACTGTGCTAGGGCGAACCTTTAAGGAGATGTAAGGAGTAAGCAGCCCTAGTGACTTGGACTTGCCATTTCCTTGTGACAGGTGGATGGGCGGCCTGATGCACAACAGCTTCCGCTTAGAGGAAAATGGAGACAGGCGCGTCTTGGCCATATAAGTCGCTAGATAGATCTGGTGCATTCAACTTATGATATAAAGATTATGAAACCATGCGGCCTCGGCGAGAGGGATTGGTTGGTGCTTCATGGGTGATGTGATTTTTCGGTGATTAGTAGAGAGATGTAGAGAGTGTAGATTTGTTCTGGCCTGTTGTTATTTTTGACGATGTCTTTTGGATGTCTTTTGGATCTTGGAAGGCTCCGTGTTCCCTTGACCTTAGCTGTCCAGCTGGTAGGGTAAACCCAAGGCTATCGCGGAAACCAATCGCAAATCATTCGAATGATGGCCATGGTCAAAATTTGTCAAACGCCCCAATTGGTGGTGTTTTTTTGGGAGAGAAATCCAAAACAGTCTCTTCGGTTTATTTCTTGAATGCGAACAGAATTCACCACGGTTCTGCGGGTGTTTCTGATTAAGGGGATGGAAATTTTTCATCCCGATGATGGTATATAATCATTTTACATTATACTGTTTCTGATACCGTTTCTGAGGGTATTTCTGATCATTAAAATCATGAATTCTGGTTTCTGATCATTATACATCCCGGTTTCAAAAATTTTTTATGGCGGCTGCCCCATTGACAAATTGAATTGTCTGGTTCTCAGCCATGAAATTGCGCGGCAAAGAGACTTGCTGCACAGAAGCAGCTGGCAGCCAGAACGTGTTTGCTGATCAAAGGGTGAACAGCAATAAGAATCAATAAGATGCAATGTACAATATTTAATAGGCATTCAGCAGTATCGATATAGTTTCATGACAAGCAATTGGTAGATTTCCCAACGGACAGACTCACCTGCCTCTTCTGATGGATGAATGTTGGGAGGTCAAAGCAGAACCATCCAGAGACACTCCATGGACATTTGTTTAACATTCTGATTCCACTGAAGGTAAACCACCTGAAGGAAACCTGTTTTCGGAAACCACTGCACATGAGCATCGCATGGGGAATAGTCTTTGAAGCTTGAGCAACACATATTCCAAGGACCCTGAAAGTGAGATCTCCCCCCCTGAGCGCGCAACGAATCTTTGATCTTGAAACTTAAGAAACTTGAATTTCGAACCTCTTCTTAGTGGAAACGGCCTATGTTGTATTCTATCAATTAAGTATATCTATGATTGATTATTGCGTTTTATGATGTTTTATGATGTTTTATGCAATCAAACCAAAACCCGAAACTCATGGATGAGAGATCCCAAACTGCTTGGTCTTTGTTATGTAAAAAAAACACATTTCCTTGCGAAATGATAGATAGATAGTGCTTCACAGTCCAATCTTAACCTCCACAGCAATACTATCATACTGACACAAGAGTTTCATGGAATATCTTTCGTGATATTGTAATAGAAATACTATCAGAATCAGCTTCATTGAAGAGATATAAGAGTATTGGCAATCATATCATACTGATGATAGAACATTGTAACAAGTATCACTATTGTATTATAGCATATTGTAGTAAGAAAATCCTTTTCTATACAGAATCGAAACATATTTTCGCAACCACTCACCAACACTGTCCGTCATGACCATGGTGTCGCTGCAAGTCTCCAAGGCGAGATGGACGCAATAGTGAACCAACGATATTGATGAATGAATCGGAATCAGACTCATGATAAACATTCATTCATTATCATGTCAATACTGATAATCATGTCCGGATATTTTTAGAGGATTTTCGATCAAGATCTTAAACATCTTAAACACTTTGATAGACATCCAAGTTTGACACCCAGATCCTGGGCTGCGGATCACCAACGGTGCAATGTAAGGAAGAGATAACTAGAACTTGGAGCGTTGCCAAGAACTGGTTGGTGTATCCAGCAAAATCAGATAGTCGTGGTGACTTTACACGGACTATCGATCATTAGAGCCTGATTGGTGGGTTTATTCAGATTTTTCTCTGTCCCTCTAAGAAGACGCTTGAAACATCTTGAAACCATCAATCGGAAATGCTCTGTATGACTGTAGTGCCTTTCAACATGGTTGCTTAATGGGGATTCCCATACTGGATTATGATAATTCCCAAGACATTGGGCAGTCTAGCCCCCAAGAATCATCATCAACATTCATCAACCAACAGGGGTAGATCGCAGCCACTTCTGTTGAAACTTCTGTCAGGGGCCGCTCTCTGCAAGCTTGTTGGAGGCACGGTTTTGCCAATTCTTGGTGTCAGAACTTAGGCATATCAGCATATCCCATATGATAGAAATTGAATCACCTATCGTACATTCATAGATTCCGTGTTTTGGTTGAGCTTTTTTTTCGGTAACTTATCCCTTTGTCACTGGGTGCATTCCCACCTTTCCGGGAAATCACGCCAAACGCAGGCTTACATGGCCCGTTTTGGGCTGTCAAAGTCACAGGTGCGCGCCAAAACCTGCGGGATTCTGGCGAAAATCATCAGGGAGATCAGGGTTTCTTACCGAATTACCATGGAAATTCGGATTTACCTCGCAAAAAGAACGATAGAAGATTACTCACAGCTATATGAGAATCGGGAGCCAGCGTGTTTTCGCATGAAGATCTACACAAACCAACAGCAAGCGAAGAGATTGCCTGCAAAACACGGCAAAGTTCACCCAAAAACAGTCGAAAACACACCGTACCAAACCCAAACAGAGGCAATTCCACAAAAAGAAACAGTTCAAACCTCGAGATCCTGTTTTTAACAATGACATGGGAAAACAAGGGAAAACAAAGTAAAAACAATAACAAGGGAAAACAATAGGAAACAAAGGGAAAACAATGGAAAACAAAGGAAAACAATGGAAAACAAGGGAAAACAATGGAAAACAAGGGAAAACAAGGGAAAACAAGGGAACACAAGGGAAAACAAGGGAAAACAAGGGAACCCAAGGGAAAACAATAGGAAACAAGGGAAAACAATAGGAAACAAGGGAAAACAAGGGAAAACAATAGGAAACAAGGGAAGACAAGGGAAAACAAAGGAAAACAATGGAAACCAAGGGAAAACAATGGAAAACAATGGAAAACAAGGGAAAACAAAGGAAAACAAGGGAAAACAAGGGAACCCAAGGGAAAACAAGGGAAAACAAGGGAACACAATAACAAGGGAAAACAATAGGAAACACGGGAAAACAATAGAAAACAAAGGAAAACAAGGGAAAAGAAAGGAAAAAACAAGGGAAAACAAGGGAACCCAAGGGAAAACAAGGGAAAACAAGGGAAAACAAGGGAAACCAAGGGAAAACAAAGGAACACAAGGGAAAACAAGGGAAAACAAGGGAAAACAATAGGAACCAAGGGAAAACAATGGAAAACAATGAAAAAAGTAAAAGCAATGGAAAACAAGGGAACCCAAGGGAAAACAAGGGAAACCAAGGGAACCCAAGGGAAAACAAGGGAAAACAAGGGAACACAATAACAAGGGAAAACAATAGGAAACACGGGAAAACAATAGAAAACAAAGGAAAACAAAGGAAAAGAAAGGAAAAAACAAGGCAAAACAAGGGAACCCAGGGGAAAACAATAGGAAACAAGGGAAAACAAGGGAACCCAAGGGAAAACAAGGGAAAACAATAACAAGGGAAAACAATAGGAAACAAGGGAAAACAATAGGAAACAAGGGAAAACAAGGGAAAACAATAGGAAACAAGGGAAGACAAGGGAAAACAAAGGAAAACAATGGAAACCAAGGGAAAACAATGGAAAACAATGGAAAACAAGGGAAAACAAAGGAAAACAAGGGAAAACAAGGGAACCCAAGGGAAAACAATAGGAAACAAGGGAAAACAATAGGAAACAAGGGAAAACAATAGGAAACACGGGAAAACAATAGAAAACAAAGGAAAACAAGGGAAAACAAGGCAACCCAAGGGAAAACAAGGGAAAACAAGGGAACCCAAGGGAAAACAAGAGAAAACAATAACAAGGGAAAACAAGGGAACACAATAACAAGGGAAAACAATAGGAAACACGGGAAAACAATAGGAAACAAGGGAAAACAAAGGAAAACAATAGGAACCAAGGGAAGACAAGGGAAAACAAGGGAACATAAGGGAAAACAAGGGAAAAGAAAGGAAAAAACAAGGGAAAACAATAGGAAACAAGGGAAAACAAGGGAAAACAAGGGAACACAAGGGAAAACAAGGGAAAACAAGGGAACCCAAGGGAAAACAAGGGAAAACAAGGGAAAACAATAACAAGGGAAAACAATAGGAAACAAGGGAAAACAATAGGAAACAATGGAAAACAAGGGAAAACAAGGGAAAACAATAGGAAACAAGGGAAGACAAGGGAAAACAAGGGAACACAAGGGAAAACAAGGGAACACAAGGGAAAACAAGGGAAAACAAGGGAAAACAAGGGAACACAAGGGAACACAAGGGAACACAAGGGAACACAAGGGAAAACAAGGGAAAACAAGGGAACCCAAAAAACAACGGGAAAACAAGGGAAAACAATAACAAGGGAAAACCAGGGAAAACAAGGGAACCCAAGGGAAAACAAGAGAACACAAAGGAACACAAAGGAACACAAGGGAAAACAAGGGAAAACAATGGAAAACAATGAAAAAAGTAAAAGCAATGGAAAACAAGGGAAAACAAGGGAAAACAATAACAAGGGAACACAGGGGAAAACAAGGGAAAACAAGGGAAAACAAAGGAACACAAGGGAACACAGGGGAACACAAGGGAAACCATTTTGGACATACCCTGCAGGTGGAGGAACAAAAGAAGGCCTTCGATGCCTTGGACTTGGACGGCAACGGGAAGATCACCTTCCAAGAGGTCAAGGACCAGCCTCCTGGACCAGTTGGGTGCGTTTTGCATTGGGATTTCACTAGGAAATATCCTGATTTAACTGGGAAAAATCGTGATTTCATTGGATTTCATACTGGTTCAATGGGATTTTTCCATGGGATTTACCTGGTTCGGTAATCTTTCAGAGTTTGCGAACTGGAAAATGATAATTTTCTGGTCCAGCTATGGATGATACCGATGATTTGTTTGTTCAAAAACTGATTTTCCATAGCCATGTTAAATAACCAGAACATATTGTTGATATTGGGGTTCTACACACTACACCCCCGCTCAAAAGGGATACAGTCCATGATTGGAATAGCTTTAAACAAACCAGTGGAACCAGTTCGCAACCCGCTTTTTGACCCTGCTTAAGTGGTCAAGTTGGCTATGTCCAAGTAATAAGACATTTGGCCTTGTCCAAGAATAGGACACCCCAGAAATTGATAAATAATTAATCACAATTTCCCTTTCGGGGTATACCCTATTTTCAGACACACGCATTTTGACTGATAAGGGAAATCCACTTAATCGATTAAAATAGCAAATCCTACATTACAACTAATACACGAATTACTATAGTGGGTGGAATGGATATGGTCAAAAAAATACATAGTAATACATGTGATGGAGATATTGTTGGATCAGTTGTGGAATGGATATGTTTGTGAATAAGAAAGCATTAAAGCCTATAACTAGTCCAACTAAAAGACATATATAGCTAGTCCAACTACTGATAAGACCACCCACAGTCATTTGGTCGTTGGTGGTTCATCATCATTTTCTCCATGAAACTTGCCATAATTGGGGCCCACATATAATCAACAAGACTTTCATACTGAGCTATATAATTATGTCTCCTTACACAGCCCTTACATGTGCCTTACGTATGGTAGGTATCTCCAATTTTGAAACCATAGTTGAAGCCAGTAGTTAGGATAGACTGCCACGGTTTTGACGCATTCCCATAAATATAGCTGCAGTTTATCAAATAAGAACCACTGGGTGAACCAACCAGCCGATCGCATATCCGAAGCATTGTGGATCGTGAGGATTAGAAGCGATTCAAAGGGAAACATTCTGGACTTCACTTCCCAAGCTCTTCAATTGGGTCTGAAAATGGTGGGAAAACCATGTAAAATCCGTATGAATCATCCTCAATCCATTGAAGCATCATTATCCCTAATTATTAGAATTGCCCAGAAAAGGTGGGGGCCACCAATGTTTCGTACAGTCCACTTTGCTTGAATGACCTCACAATGACATTGTTGGAATTGCTCAACTACAACATACTATGTATATATATATATAATTAAATATAGATATACTATTGTGATACTATTGTGCAGGTAGGTTAATGTCATTGAGCATCCCCATTTTAAGGAGGTGAAATTCCACTTTCTAAATTTCAATTTAGATATCACCATGAAAAATATACATAATTTTGCATTAAGAATAATAACCAAACTGTTGTTGATCCCCATAGCCTTTAAATCTAACAGACTTGATGGTTTGCTCCAGGAGATGAATACGACTCTTGGCTCACCGATGTCTGATAAGGCGCGCGGAAAGGGAGCTCGGTTTGCCATGAATTTTTGGGCCACGAAAGAGGAGAGGAAAACCATGGGATGATGAGATGGAATTCTGTTGAGAATTTGGAGATGACCACCTTTCATTGTAAGTGTGAGAGAAGAATCAACACTTGAATTATCATCGTGATCCTTTCCACTATACAATAATGCATTATGTATTATATATATACTATACATATATATATATGTATATATGTATATTATATATACATATGTATATCCTGTTTAACAGGCCTTGTCGACACAATTTGCCAGCAGTGTACGGCGGCATGATGAGCCTGCATTGTATGCCCATCTGTCGTCAATCGAGCCGCATTTTTTTGGCATCGATCAATGTAATGACTGGCATCAATATTGACCCCTGTTAAACGTGAGCCGCCTGTAAAATTAATTAATTGTTTTGCATAGTATGGTTCAATAGGCAATAGGTTTGCTGGTTGGGTGGTCAGAATGCACCAACAAACAGTTTCGGAAGCAGAACCCCTCAAAAGCCGTGTCGACTCATGCCCAATTGATTTTTGATCCATACCCATATCAAAGCAGTGAGGCAAATCCAGGCTTGGACGAGCTGATTTATTGGGGATTTTGATGACCCATTCTGGGGGCCCCCATCAACCAGTTTCAAGGGGCAGGAATTCCGCTTTTGGGCCCTCTTTGAAACCCTGAAGAATGGCCGTGGGGAATCCATCATTGAGTGTTGGTTTTCCCATTCAAACCTCCATTGAAAAAGGGGACTAATTGCCATGTTTGATTACCGAAGGGTAATCATACCCTTGTGATCCCTTGTGGATATCCATAATCACCAACGCCCAATATTTTTCCGATTTGCAACTTGGGCAACTTGGTGATTTTCAGGCCTGCGAGCTGTCACAAGAAAAAGTATAAAGACCTGGTTTAGATTATGGATAATCATATAGAACAGATTACCCTCTGGTAAAATTGGTAAATTAACAGTTCGACCCCGCAAAAATCACCAATTCTTAGTGGAAACTAATCTTCCGTCCCCTATCTGGCAGGGTCTAGGTTGATTTACTAGAAGGTAATACCAGTACATATTATATATTGTTACGTAGATATGCTTCAGATGCTTCATGGGACATCATGGGGTGGTGATTTTCCATGGCACCCATGGATTTTCATCAGGAGCTGAATGAGCAATTTGTTTCCCTAGACGTGGATCGCTGGGGAGCCCAGTTCTTGGCGACCATGATATGAGACCTAAACGCTGGCATGACCATGACATAGCCAACAAAAATGGGAACATTTCTCCATATACAGAAATGAAACTGTGGAATACGGAATACGGAAAATTTGATGAGTTGGACTTGCGAGAAATGGGGATATGAATCTCCATGAACCGACAAGCATGCGGATTGGACTTTGCAGACATGGTGATGTATGATATACTTTACACATGATGGTGGATTGATGCTACTGCAAAAACTTGGGATATTACCAGGTTGGGTGAGGACTATTCTAATTATCTAATTTGTAGAGCACTAAAAATATGTATATATATACATACATACGTCCATACAGACATACCGACATACAGACATACCGACATACCGACATACAGACATACTGACATACAGACATACAGACATACAGACATACAGACATACATACATACATTACTTACATACATACATTACTTACATACATACATTACTTACATACATACATTACTTACATACTTACATACATACATACATACGTGCATACATGCATACATACATACATACATACATACATACATACATGCATTACTTACATATATACATACATACATGCATGCATGCATGCATGCATGCATGCATGCATGCATGCATGCATGCATACATACATACATACATACATACATACATACATTACTTACATACATACATACATACATTACTTACATACATACATTACTTACATACATACATTACTTACATACATAGATACTTACATACATACATTACTTACATACATACATTACTTACATACATACATTACTTACATACATACATTACTTACATACATACATTACTTACATACATACATTTCTTACATACATACATTACTTACATACATACATACATACAGACATACATACATACAGACATACATACATACAGACATACATACATACATGCATTACTTAAATATATACATACATAAATACATACATACATACATACATACATACATATAGACAGACAGACAGACAGACAGACAGACAGACAGACAGACAGACAGACAGACAGACAGACAGACACACACACATACATACATACATACATACATACATACATACATACATACATACATACATACATACATACATACATACATACATACATACATACATACATACATACATACATACATACATACATACATACATACATACATACATACATACATACATACATACATACATACATACATACATACATACATACATACATACATACATACATACATACATACATACATACATACATACATACATACATACATACATACACACACATACAGACATACATACAGACATACATACATACATACATACATACAGTATATAGGGTTTAGTCACTTCGCAAGTGGAGATACAAAAACTCCAGCAGCGAACATTTGGAACAATACGCTGCAATCAAACCACTTCAGTGACTTTTTTTAGCACTCTTTAGTGCACCAATCTGCACTAGCATCACAATGAACACGGTCACCAAACCCAGCTGGGTCGCATTTTTTTGGGATTCAAACCTATTAAAGTAACATCACTGGTACACGCATTCTTCACAGCAGGGCTAGCTTAGATGATCCGATGTTCTCCTTTGATCACCCTGCCCTTTCCTTTGAACACCTCTGGTTTTCTTGTGTTTTCTTGTGTTTTCTTCTTTCCCCCTATCAGTACAAGTGTGTTTTCTGGAACAGGTGTTCCACATTTCCACCAAAGTATGGGCCAAAAGCATCCAAGAGCTAACAGTGTCAACCTTTCCAACGCATGGGTTTCATCAAAATATGGCTTTTACTTGTGGGAGGAAACCAAAAGAAACAACAAGAAACACAAAGGAACTAGCTAAAATCAGTTCTTCTTAGATTATCTCATTTTTCCTTTGGTACCCTTTGATTTCCTTTGGTTTCCCCTGATTTCCTCTGTTTTCCTCTGTTTTCCTTTGGTTTCCTTTGGTTTCCAAGGGAGAAACAAAGGAAAAAAAATCCAAGAAAAAGACGAGGCTATACGCCCATAGAATGCATCAATCATGCCTGTTACTAAGGAGACTCCTACATCATTGTACAAGTTTGGTCACTGATTTGACCGGACCATTTGATGATTCGATCCCAATCCCGAACTGAAACTGCCACTGGGCGTCAGCGAGTTGAACTGCCACTGGGTCTCTCGGATGTACCTTGGAAAGATCATAAACCATCATAAACCTGGTTTGTTTCCTTGCCATTGCAATCCATGGTATTCCAAGCTCCTGACTCTTGAATTTCGCGGGGTTCACCGGGCCACGCGTGGTGAGATAATGACATCGTGACTTTCGCGGAGTTTCTGAAGGTCTTTGTCAAGGGCGAGCTCCTGGGACTTTCGCCGCTTTCTGGGATTGAGCTTTGGCCAAATCTCCATGATTTTTCATTGAAAGACGGTATAAGGATGACTCAATGATTCTGGTGGTTTTTTAGGAGTGATACCGTGATACCTTTTCGATAAAAGCAACAGATAGATTCACGGAACATCATGGAAAAATGTGGATCATTTTCTTTTCGAAACCAATGGTTTGCTGGAGAAAGCCAAAGAAGCAGCCAGTTCCATGGGTCAAATCATTTTTCTAGAGATCCCATTTTTTTTGGCTGTACACGCTTGAACATGTTCGATGGGGAAGATTTTGATTCTACTTTGCTCTCCGAGTATGTAATGCAAAGATGTCGATGCCACAAGCCTGTGGGGTGCCAAGTATTGTCAGTATTGTCCTTAATATCTTTGCCTGGCTCAAGTTTGTTTGTCATTCGATAATTAGGTTGAAATCTTCAAATCTATGGAACTATGATGAACTATGTGTATGTAGACATGATATTTCTTGCGCTGCTCTATTTTAGAACCACTAGGTAATCAAACATGTTATATCAATGATGATTTCCCCATTTAGTTCGATGATTTCCCAGTAACATCTCCATTTCGTGTGGGGATTTCCACGCTGGCGACGCCATGTTTGATTCAGCCAGATATATCGTGATTGGTTCCTATCCCGGTTAAACCATGTTACACACCATTGGAGGGAATCCCCAATACTACAGTGTTGGTATTATCTCACTGTATATAATATATTTATATGATATGTAATATATATAATATGTAATATAATATATATATATATATACACACAATGTATTTATAAATGCATATAATCTCTATCCTACTATTGTCCGCAGGATATTCTCATGATATTTCCATTAACTCTCATAACATTCTATATCCTACATGATGTTCCATTAAATCCTATATAAATCTATATAAGTCCTATCAAATCCTATATAACATTATATTAGGGACCCGTGAACTAGGACTTGTGAAAGATACCCCGGGGTGGACGAGTCCTATCTCATCATGCGCCGGACCCCCCCTGGACAAGTCCCAGCTCATCAGGTGTCCGCCTGAAAACAGAAACTATGTTTGATTTTTTTTTGATTTGCTGAAAAGTATTGATTTTTACAAGAATCTAGTGCGGCATGGACCGCTCGTACATCATGATGACCTAGGAATAAACTAATAGAAACATACTAAGATGGGCCTAAGTCATCATGTTCGTGGGCTGCACCAAGTATGTATGTAATGTAATGTATATAATGTAATGTCATGTACTGGTAGAGGACATGACATTACATTACTGTATATCACAGTACAGTACATTACATTACAGTACATTACATTACATACATGAACAGGACTTGGTGCACACAATCGTATGTCACCAGAGGGGCACAAGTCCTAAGTCATTAGAACCTACATACATTACATTACATTACAGTACAGTACAGTACAGTACATCACATTACATTACATTACAGTACAGTACATTACATTACATGCATGAACAGGACTTGGTGCACACAATCGTATATCACCAGAGGGGCACAAGTCCTAAGTCATCAGAACCTAAATACTTACATTACATTACATTACAGTACAGTACATCACATTACATTACATTATAGTACAGTACAGTACATTACATTACAGTACATTACATTACATACATGAACAGGACTTGGTGCACACAATCGTATGTCACCAGAGGGGCACAAGTCCTAAGTCATCAGAACCTACATACATTACATTACATTACAGTACAGTACAGTACAGTACATCACACTACATTACATTACAGTACATTACATTACATTACATGCATGAACAGGACTTGGTGCACACAATCGTATGTCACCAGAGGGGCACAAGCCCTAAGTCATCAGAACCTACATACTTACATTACATTACATTACAGTACAGTACATCACATTACATTACATTACAGTACATTACATCACAGTGCATTACATTACATACATGAACAGGACTTGGTGCACACAATCGTATGTCACCAGAGGGGCACAAGTCCTAAGTCATCAGAACCTACATACTTACATTACATTACATTACAGTACACATTACAATTACAGTACATTACATTACAGTAATTACATTACATACATGAACAGGACTACCAATCGTATGTCACCAGAGGGGCACAAGTCCTGTCATCATAACCTACATGTTAACAGCATACATACATACAACAACTACATTGTCATACATGTACATTCCTAATCATACATACATACATACATACATACATACATTACATACAGTACGTACATCACAATTACATTACATTACATTACGTACATTACATACATACATACAATAACAAAACTCATATATAACCAACATAACATAACTCATAACCTACATACATTCACATTATACCGTCAGTACAGTACATCACATTACATTACTACAGTACATTACATTACAGTACATTCATTACATACTGAACATGACTTGGTGCATCGGATGTCACCAAGGGGCACAAGTCCTAAGTCATCAGACCTACAGACTGACATACATTACAGTACAGTACATACATCACATTACATTACATTCCATAACAGTACATTACATTACTCATGAACAGGACTGGGCACACAATCGTCTGTCCCGAGGGGCACAAGTCCTAAGTCATCAAACCTACATACTTACGTTACATTACAGTACAGTACAGTACATCACATTACATTACATTACAGTACAGTACATTACATTACATTACAGTACATTACATTACATACATGAACAGGACTTGGTGCACACAATCGTATGTCACCAGAGGGGCACAAGTCCTAAGTCATCAGAACCTACATACATTACATTACATTACAGTACAGTACAGTACAGTACAGTACATCACACTACATTACATTACAGTACATTACATTACATTACATGCATGAACAGGACTTGGTGCACACAATCGTATGTCACCAGAGGGGCACAAGCCCTAAGTCATCAGAACCTACATACTTACATTACATTACATTACAGTACAGTACAGTACATCACATTACATTACAGTACATTACATCACAGTGCATTACATTACATACATGAACAGGACTTGGTGCACACAATCGTATGTCACCAGAGGGGCACAAGTCCTAAGTCATCAGAACCTACATACTGACATTACATTACAGTACAGTACAGTACAGTACATCACATTACATTACATTACAGTACATTACATTACAGTACATTACATTACATACATGAACAGGACTTGGTGCACACAATCGTATGTCACCAGAGGGGCACAAGTCCTAAGTCATCAGAACCTACATACGTACATTACATTACATTACATTACAGTACAGTACAGTACAGTACATCACATTACATTACATTACAGTACATTACATTACATACATGAACAGGACTTGGTGCACACAATCGTATGTCACCAGAGGGGCACAAGTCCTAAGTCATCAGAACCTACATACTTACATTACATTACAGTACAGTACAGTACATCACATTACATTACATTACAGTACATTACATTACAGTGGTCAGTACGTCGCTTAAGCCTATGCTTTTACTCGCTTACGCCTACGTTTGTGAAATATGATGGCAGCACCAATAGAAAGTGACATAGAAGTCTTTGAATATGACTGCAACAGGTGTGACAGAGATGATGAGCAGGACATTTTGATTCGATCATATGAATTGCATGTCACTTTTCAGAAGATGTTTCAACGTATCAGGAATATGTCGCAATGTATCAGGAACATGTTTGAACTCACTTGAAGAAGTTGCTTCAACGTATCAGTACCGTCTGGCAAGTTACTGTAAGACGAGGTGACACATGTATCAGGAAGGTCGTGCAATTTACTTACAAGTAGGAAGATAGATGTTGCAACGTATCAGGAATGTATTGCAAGCTACTTGACGAAGATGTTGCAAAATAGCAAGAACATCATTCAAGGGACTTGAAGAAGATGTGACAACGTCATGCGTGGAACATGTCGGAAGTGTCGCGCAGAAGATGTCGCAATGTATCAGGAACGTGTTTCAAGTCATTTGACGAAGATGCTACAACGTATCAGGAACATCTGGCAAGTTACTGTAAGACGAGGCAGCAGGAGTATCAGGAAGGTCGTGCAATTTACTTACAAGTAGGAAGATGTTGCAACGTATCAGGAATGTATTGCAAGCTACTTGACGAAGATGTTGCAAAATACCAGGAACATCATTCAAGGGACTTGAAGAAGATGTGACAACGTCATGCATGGAACATGTCGGAAGTGTCGCGCAGAAGATGTCACAATGCATCAGGAACGTGTTGCAAGTCACTCGAAGAGGATGCTACAACGTATCAGGAACATCTGGCAAGTTACTGTAAGACGAGGCAGCAGGAGTATCAGGAAGGTCGTGCAATTTACTTACAAGTAGGAAGATGTTGCAACGTATCAGGAATGTATTGCAAGCTACTTGACGAAGATCTTGCAACATAGCAAGAACATCATTCAAGGGACTTGAAGAAGATGTGACAACGTCATGCATGGAACATGTCGGAAGGGCCGCGCAGAAGATGTCACAATGTAGCAGGAACGTGCTGCAAGTCACTCGAAGAAGATGCTACAACGTATCAGGAACATCTGGCAAGTTACTGTAAGACGAGGCAGCAGGAGTATCAGGAAGGTCGTGCAATTTACTTACAAGTAGGAAGATGTTGCACCGTATCAGGAATGTATTGCAAGCTACTTGACGAAGATGTTGCAAAATAGCAAGAACATCATTCAAGGGACTTGAAGAAGATGTGACAACGTCATGCATGGAACATGGCGGAAGGGCCGCGCAGAAGATGTCACAATGTATCAGGAACGTGTTGCAAGTCACTCGAAGAAGATGCTACAACGTATCAGGAACATCTGGCAAGTTACTGTAAGACGAGGCAGCAGGAGTATCAGGAAGGTCGTGCAATTTACTTAGAAGTAGGAAGATGTTGCAACGTATCAGG